ACACATTTTCATATATTTGCAGTATTATAGTATAGTATTATATGTATTGTGTTTAACTATTTTGATTAAGTGAATAGAAACATAGTGAAAAAGATGGAAAATCTATTTGCTGGTTCTAGCAGTGGTTATTGATGCTTCTTTCACGGGTCTGTGCGCACAAGGCATCATTTACACTGACCCACAAGTCCAAATGGAGTTTCATTTGTGGATTAATACGTGTATTAGTAGAGTTATACTAAAGACGAAAAACTGTTCATAGGCCCGTCATGGCTGCTGGTTCTCCTTTAGATCTAGTAGGGAAAGAGCTTGCAGCTGAACTAACAGCACCTTTGTCGGAGAGCATCTGCTGAGCATTGCTTCCTGTCCTCCTTCTGCAAAGGGAAGAGAGGAGAGAGTCAGAGACAAGGGGAAATAAACTGGTACAACGCACTGCACTTACAATATATGTTAGATGTAAACCGTGCCACTCTTTTCCACACCAATTACACAGGTGTATTAATGTTTAACTGTATGAAGGATCACCTCTTGTCCTGGTTGAACTTGCACCTGCAGTGGCCACCTGGAGCAAGAGAAGAGAACAGTTGGCTTTCTTTATATCTGTGTGTTTGTGCGTTGTTTAAGAGAGTTTATGACTCCATGAGTGGAAAAGCTGTTTGCATAATTTGCATCTTACTGAACAGGATGGTGATGCCAATGAGACAGAGGACAGCAGCTAGAATCAGGCCTCCAACACGCAGCCTGTGGTAGTCTGCAGAAAGAGGTCGGGGTTACCTCATGAAAATTGAACGAATGCATCCGCTCAACAAAACATGCAAGCAAATCAGACCGGAAACGCTTCTACATACATGAAATCTAAATGATAGTTAAAAAATATTACTCTAGAAAATAATATTTACCAAAGGTAAACGGGTCCTCTTCCACTGTAGGAACACAAATAATTTGTAGGTGAGTTGAAAGTTGGTTTGAGAAGCAGATAAATGAGGATATGCAAAAACATTCACATACATTTGACAATAACATAATAAAGTCAATAGTACCAGGGAACATAGTACTATTATCTCGTTATATACTTTCCTGCCAGAATAAAAAAAAAGAATTATCTCGTTGATGACATCATCAATATATATCAACAGGAAAGTGACATTTCACTCAATTCAAAGAAAAAATATTTTAAAAACCTGCGTGTCTGTTGTGGTTATTTTCAGATAAAAATGTAGGGATTTGATTTCATAACAATATTACAGAAATATATAATTTTAACAAACACATGTTTTAACAAAATGTTTGCGCCGGTAAGGCGGCGGACTAATGTTAAAAAAAAAGTGTACTTACAGTTTTGTTCTTCTGCAAACCCGAGGGACACAACTGCAAGAGGTCAGACAGACTCTTTACAATGGTGAAACACATCTGTCTGAATATCAGGGCTCATTGAGGTGGAACAGCAAAAATATTCCACTGTAGTTGGTAATGATGGTGTCACACCTGTATGTCAAGTTGCGTTTTTGTCCTGTCTCCAGTTGTTTTTTGACTTCCTGTTTTATTTTGGAAACTAACTCCCTCTCGTTTCAGGTCCCTTTCCCTTCCTCATGTGTCACCAGTCTGATTGTCTTCCCTGATTCCTGATTGTGTCCACCTGTTCCCACAACTCCCTCATGGGTACTTATAGTCTGCGTCGCCCCTTGTCCTGTGCCAGTGTGTCTTGTTGTTTTGCCCTGCACACCAGCCCTCACGTCACGAGTCTAGTCAAGTCCGATAACGTTTGTCACGTCCTTTTGATCCCTGTTACGTTTCCTCGTTTAAGAGAGATTTTGAGTTTTTGCCTTTTGAATTTTGATCTCAACCTTTTTCCTCATTAAGAGAGATTTTGAGTTTTTTCCTTTTGAACTTTGATCGCAACCTTTTTTCCTCATTAAGAGAGATTTTGAGTTTTTTCCTTGTTATTAATAAAAGCAATATCAGCTGAACCCTCTGCGTCCGAGTCCTCCTCCTCCCCGCCTGACAGATGGATTCATGTGGTCTAAAGAAGTTCAAGTCTGATATATGTAGATGTCCTCATATTGAATTTGTGCCATTAATAATTCAAAAGCATTTTGAGGAGAAATAACGTTTGCCACGTTATTTAGACTCATCTGCAAATTAAACTGTTAATATCAATGAAACAATTCTGCTTAAGCTCTTTAATCTTTTCTGCATTTATTGAAAATCGAGCTCTGTTTAAAAACATTCCAAAATACTCTGATCTAACCTCCTACGACACCTGGCGGAGCTGCGGATGTTATCACGCTCACCTTTCCAGGACTAGAATTGTACACTTGCATCTAAAAATCGTCACATGAGACATCTGGAGAGTTTAAAATCACGACCAGACAGCCAGTGACAGGATTATCTCTCTCACAACTCATCCCCTCTGCTGTTTTTGGTCTGATCTCAGACAACACAGGTCGCAGAGAACAGAAATATGGAGCTACGCACACGAGAAGAAAGACCTGAGCAAGTGAGAAAGCACCTGAAGAGCAAGTGGAGAAAACACTACTTTGTACTACATTATGCCTTCCTGAATATTTACTGGATTTACTCTTTGACTTTTATGAAGATTAAGTTACAAATGCAGTGCAGGATTTTAAAAGAATGACTGATTAAATGTAAAGACTTTAAAGAGTTCCACTCACGTGTCATCAACACCAAAGCACCGATCTTTGACATCTTCTCGTTTGAGGTTGTTTACCTGCGGAGATTGACGTAAACACAAATCATGAACAATGCAGGACTAGAGCTAGATTCATGTATATAAATCATATGTTTGCATAAAGCTTTACATTCTAACTTAGTTTCCATAACAAACCTCAGTCCTCAGTGATGAATATATAAGAAATGTGCCTTTACTTTTACAACAAACTTAGAGTAGCACCTTAGCTGTATTAACATGGGGTGAATAACATATATCTTCGGTCCCAATGGCACACACAATTAAGTGTGTGCGTGTCCGTGTGCACGTTAAGAAGCTGATCACAGTACTGGCTCACACTAACCACAGGTCAATAAAGACCTGATGTTTTCTGAGGGGAACTAAAAGGACTTAAACACACAGCGTGTGCACAAGTTTCCTCTAAAGCACACAAACAAAGAAATCTGATCGAATTTAGCCCAAAGTGGCCTCTCCCGCTCTATTTTCACACAGAAACTCGATCTGTTGTTGAAAGGCGCAAAGTGCTTTAATGGAGATTCAGGAGAACTAAGTCACTCTGCATAATGCAGCATTACGCTGGCTCCCTCTAAAAGCTCCAGCGCTTCCTTTCTCTCTTTTCTCTTCAATGTTATTTCTTAATTCATTACGGGCTTTTTCCACCTATAATGTACAGTACTGTGTGTATGTATCTATGTACATGTAGTCCGCTGCTACAGCTGTCCACATTTCTCTTGTTACTCTTCAACAGTTTTCACTTGTTGATCAAAAATTTAATAAAAAATCGATGAGAATCCTATTAAAGTCCACTCACCCGACGCTATTCCTGACTTTTCTGTCATTTGAATCTTACAGCGAGCATTAGGCGTATAGATTGGTTGCCTTGAGCTTTTTTTCCGAGGTCCCATCAGTGGATATTATATATTTTACAATGCCTGCTAATTAATTGTTCTTAAGTGTAAACCCCTCCCACTTTTAATCCCCACGCGGTGTGTCCACGCCGCGCGCCGCAGCAGAGGCAACGTGTGCAGGGAGGAGCAGCAGTGATTTTCCACTCAGCACACGTTTCCCCCTCGGGTCGTTCCGCAGAGAACCACAATCACACCGGTATCCATTTCAAACTGAGATTCACACGCCGTCACGTGTGTTTGTGACAACCTGCACAAACACATCCTGCTGAAGCCTCTGTTGAACCTGTATGATCGGTTCAAAGGGGAGCCTCATTGTTGAGGGGAATTGAACCCTCCTTTGGCGCGTCTCAGACACCAGAGACAATGGTGTGGAGGGATAAAAGCAGACATTGTGAACTCTAGAGTGGCGTTTTTTTTTAATCATGGTGGTGGGTCCCTATTTGTTTGTGTTGTGCACAGGATGCACATGCAGAGCCAGGATTTCACACCTTCCACTGATCTACAGGGGTTATAATGAGCCGAGATTCACACAAATGCTGCAAAGAAGACTGCCAGCATGTGTGCAGGATTCAAACGCTTCAGTGTTTGTGTTGTTTTATGTCAAAGAAATGCATCCAACATGTTTTTTTTTTAGAGATTGTGGATGCACAGGGTACTTTTTGCTGAGTAACACAGAATTAAACTTTTACGGTCTACATAAGAGAAGGACAGTGTATCTGACAAATCCTTTAAGATGTTACATCACTGATTCAGTTCCAGCATCAAGTACGGTCTCGTAGCTTAGGTGTAGAGGATCTTTAAAGGACGCACAACAACGGTAAACATCCCACATGAAAGGCAACGGTGAGTCCTCTCTTCACCGCTGTGGGTGTTTGGAGTGTGGTAGAAAGGGAGAACAGAGAAGAGCAGAACGAGTGCACCTCTCCTGGTGCCTCTCCCCAGCAACCCAAGGCGAGGCAGGGGGAATGTAGGGGACGGGAAACAGGCCAACCGCCATTAGAGAATGGTTTACCTCAGGAGGAAGCTACACAGAGAGGGGAGAGAGAGGGAGACGAAGGGCAAAGACCGCAACAGAGAGAGAAGGAGAGGAATGCAGAAGAAGACACGGAGGGCAAACTGAGGATGAGGCTTTGAGGAAGGGGAGGCAGAGGAGAGAGAGAGAGAGAGAGAGAATGTAATCGTATGAGCTGCAGAGAGGGGGATGTAAAATATGTGGCAACTCCCTGTTCCAAGATCCTATTCTTAAGCTAATGTTAGTGTAAGGCGAGGCCAGGAGGTAAGTGCTGGAGGCGCTTACCTACAAAGTGAAAGGCAACTTCGTTGGCATATTTATTTGGTGAAATGTGAGAAAGTGGTGGTGAAATGCAGATCAAAATTCCCCAGGGTCCACAGCAGCATGCTTGCATTGCTGGTTCTGTCCACTTAACGCTGCAGAATCTACTCCATGTAATAACATAACAAAATAAAACAAGCACTCTGGGGGCTTTTCTGATTAATACACGGCCTATCCAAATACTTGGTAGTCTATTATCTACAATCGAATAATCAACCAATTGTTTCGGATTTAAATGGAGGTTTAAATGTTCAGCCCAAATTCCGCTTTGACAAAACCAAGGCTGAGCATTACAGGCCGATACCAAAGAAGCCCTTGTTTTTACAGATCTAGCCAAAGCATTTCTGAAGCTATTATGTCAAAAGTAGTTTCTCTCCCCCTTTGTTCAGGCTCCCTGTGAAGTCACTTCTCCACCTCTGCCTGGTCGGGGTATAAAGACTTTTCTGTTCGTGCTCCGTCATGCTGCTCCGACTGTCTCCAACTGTCCCTCTTTTTTGTTTTCTACTGTTGAATCTCTTTTTCTTCCAGTTTATAGGCTTGCTTTCTACATTTTTGTTTAGCTTCACAATTTGCTGCTGTATCGAACAGTCTTCTTCTTTCCTCTCCAGCCGAGTCCCACCCCTTACATGCGTGTACCAGTAAGGAACAGCGCGGTACTATGCAATTACTTACTCATTTGAAATGTTTACATCTATATTAACTAGGGAGGTTTTCCAGGCACGGCCAGCCAGGGGGAGACCCAGGACGAGCTGGAGAGATTACATCTCCACACTGGCCTGGGAACCTCTTGGGATCCCCCAGAGCTGCTGGATGTGGCCCGGCAAAGGCAAGTTTGGGGTCCCCTGCCGGAGCCATTTGCCCCGCCACCCGAGCAGTTGAATCAATGATGAAATAATGAATTTAAATTATAAACAGACTATTTATTGTAGTAGCTTCTATTTAAATGTCTCAGACAGATCTCATGCTTATCAGGCACAAAAAGTAAAAATGTATTTACGTCCATTGTTTGGGGCAAAGGCAGATATTTCAGAGACATTATTTAAAACCTGCAGGAAGAATCATTGTAGATGATGTGTGTGTCAAACACACACAAACCTGGAATACGAGTATAAAATCATGTTTAAAAGAGATCTAAACAGCTTTACCACCGTCTGTATGAATGTATACTTGATGTCATCCTGATGGAACTACCCCAAAAAACAAGAGTTCAATTTTATGCTTTCTCTATTTTGTGTGCACGTGGCTGTGCGTGTTATGATATGTGTTGTGGACAACACGTATGTGTGACTTAGTCTCTTTGGCAACTTCCACTCCCCCACCCGAGCGTTTCCATGCTGGACACCAGTGTGTGTGTGTGTGTGTTTCTGTACAGCACTACAGAGACAGCTGCCTTTACTCAGTGGCATTTTTTATTCATAAATTAGCAGCACTGGATTCCAGTCTGCAATCTGTGATGGTTTATTTGCTTTTTGTTGTTGAATATATCTTAAGTTGTTCCTCTCATCACTAGCGCATTACACTCATACAAGAGCTGAATGCCTGGAAATGGGATTGATGGGGATTGAGTGTTTTTTCTTCGTGGTGATACCATCTAACAGCAACGGACAAGCTTCAACAGATGGAAGAGTGTTTCAACTAAGTAAAGGGGGAAATAAGACCGGGTGTGGCTGTGAGGCAGCTCACTAAGGAAGAAAACCAAGAAAGGAAACCAGCGATGCAGGAAGTGAAAAACAAGATTTCAATTGTGGTATTAAGACCGAGCAAGAGGGGGGGAGAAGCAGAGAGTGGTCACGCCTCGGGGGGGACGGGGGAGGCGGGCGAGGAAGGGACGAGGGAGAGTGCGGTCGGGGGAGAGAGGGGGCGGGACGAGGGACGCACAGAGACAGACGCAGGGAGGTACTGGGGAGTCGAGCATACTACAGCCGTGAGTCACAGGAACCACGAGGCGAGCGGCACACTTCCTGCTCCCGGCTCTGCAGCCGATGGAGTCCAGCTCGATGCAGCGTGACGGTTACAACATAACGTCGCGTGTGAATAAAAACACCGGGACCGGGCTGTGAACGAAGTCACCGAAGGTCGCAGTCACGAGGGAAATCAATGTACCCTCCTCGAGGACGAGTGCGTCGCCTAAGAAACGCGCTCCCCTCCACCCGTTTCCCCCGCCCCCCGCCCTCCTGTTTTCTTTTGTTAGGAGTCATGGGAGACGTGAGGACAGCGAGCTGCTTTTGTGTCCCCCCGACTGTCTGTCGCCACCTTCCTCCACCCGCCCCACCCGCCTCCACCTCTGCCTCTCAACCCGCGATATCTTTCATCTCCATCCGCCTCGTCTCTCACTCTGCGAAAAACTGTGCTCAAATGAGGTGAACTAAGGTGTGCGTAAATGTGTCGTACTGTGGACGCCGCAGGCAGGCGCGAGTTCATCGTGTGAACATTTCGTTGCCACTTCGAAACAGTTCTCACAGTATGCTCGACTTTTGTGAAGAAACTCTTAGAATCATATTCCTGCATTGCATGGAAAAATATTAACTTGTTTTTGGCAGAAATGTCCCTAATCCATATTTGTGAACATGTCATCAGTCTATGACATGACTATTGGTGATCTTTATCCATCATGACGAGGAGTTTAGGTTTCTCTCTGTGTCTGCTTTAGTTCTACTCCAGCTACCGATGTCCAACATCTCATCCATGACGAACCACCGCAAAGTGTAGATATCCGGCCTGAGAGAGTGTTGGCTTTGCACAATGCCTACACCACACGTCCAAAACACAATAGAGGTTACTGCTGCAGTGCATTCTGGAACTGCCTCGTTCTACGCCTCTTGTACAATTGATTCCTCCCCGGCCACTAAAGCCTGACGTTTACCCACGGCTTCTTGTTTACACATGCACAGGCTTTATCAGGAACACAAGCACGACGTGAAAGCACAAGCACCACACCGCTGTTTCAACTGCTTGTGCATCTCACGTAATGAGGTACGAGAGGCTGTACTTTAGCGTCCAATAATGAAACAGTTCGAGGGTGCAGCCATTAGAAATAGTAAGTAAATAGCCGCTTTTCAGCACAAAATAGTATCAGCCACCAAATGTTGTGTATCGCATTTCAGTAGTCTAGACGTCCACCTTGATTGTCCGGTTGGGAAAGCTCGCGTTGCCCCAAACCGATCATTTCTGGCTTTTTCGATCTTTTTACGGCGATTGCCACACAACTAAAAACTGAAATGACAACTAACTAACTGTTACTTTGAGTGCGCAGTGAAATACGAGTAGGTGAACAGGTACATTATGGCTCAATAATGTACACCCCATGACTTGCTCTCAACCAATCAGAATGCTAGATTTCACCTACTCGTATTATAAAGTCAGTTAATTGCTCAGGGGATAGTCAATACAAATTGCGGGTAAAATGTGAACAAGATCTATTTCCAGTGTAAATGTTACCTTTCCCCTACAGTTCAGCAACCTTGAACAGCAAGACCTTTCTCCTTTATCTGTCCATGTCCACCTAGTAAAAAACGGTTCTCTCTCTCTTTCTCTGTAAATGAGGGTTCTAACACACATGCTGCTACTAATTATTATTCGCATTAGTACGTAATACTATCATCATAAACCAATATCGCTGACCTGCTTCTTTCCAGAAGTCTTCGTGCTTTCCCTCCTCACAGATTCCCGTGGATGGAGGTTGCATCTGAAGGTGGTCCTGCCTTAACCTGGCTCGCCACTCTCAATAATGGAATCATTTCTGTCACATAAATTGAACGTAATGCACATCTCTTAGGCTGTTCATTCTGTCCACATGACACCTATTGCAGATCCCGAAGTGAGGGTTTCAGGGGAAAGGATGTTACATGTTTACAGGCTGAAAAGCCCTCCGAGGCTAATTTGTGATTTTGGGCTGTTAAAAATCAAATGATTAGAGTTGAATAGACACGTTGGTACTGGAAGAATCGGCCACATCTGCACTTGAGGGGTGTTCTACGCAGTCGTGACACACGCAAGTTGCACCGCTTCTGCAGGAGAATCACCAGGAAGAGACGCAGCTGATTTCGGGTGTACTGAGAATCAGGATTCAAGTGACTTGGAACCTGATCTCGTTCTTACAGAGTCTGATTCAGAAGATGAAGTTTCAAATCTATCCAAAAGATTTAGAAAATAGGGCTAAAAACACAAAACAAACACACAGAAATCAGAACAAACTTCTGCTGTAAGTTTTGTTGCTGTAAGTTAGGTAACTTGTAATGTGCCAGCCACGATTTTTCCGTGGAAAATTGGTTCAAAAGTGAACGTTTTTTTCAACGTCTACGAAAAGACGTGGAAAATTTTTCAGCGTCTTTTCAACGGAAACATGCTCGCTGGTGTTCGATGGGGTTATTTAATATTATCTACTAGGTATTAAGTATATTTATTGCACATAACGTTGCGGGCTTGTGACACATTGACTTCTCTCTCTCTCTCGAAAAAAAATACGTTTTTTAAAATGAATTCTTGTCTCTTTGAGCTGTGTTTACCCTGGTTGATGCAACATGTCTGCGGCACACAGAGATGTTTAAAGAGCCGAAATGCGGTTTAACGGCCGCTTCTCTGACGTTAAACAGTCTGCGTATGAGATTTTTCCACTTCAAGAAACACATTCCCTCAAATGAAGAAAACTACTCAGTGGGAAAACAGCAGCGGTTGGGGGATATTTCCTTTGTCAAGACTTACCTCTCTCACGGCGTATTTATCAACGGGGAAAAGTCTGGTACAGAAGGCGGATATGCGACCCAGAATCAGCGCACTTTCTCCCCTCTGCTCTCAGCTCTGGCAGCCTCAACAGGTTGGCTCGCTTTTACCGAAGGGGGGCTGCGTTTGAAACGCTGGTGGTTTGTTGGTGAATTCTGATCCTGGGTCGGTTTCAGTCGGCCGACTGGCGCCGGAAGAGCGAGGGGCGGAAGACGTGCGGGGCGTGGAAGCTGATCTGGAGTCGGTCGCACCGAGAGCCGGGAGGAGGAGTGAACGCATTAATGTTTGCTTGTCGAGAACGAAGATGTCGAAGTTTGTCGAGTTAGTATGTACTATCCAACCAACTAGTTTGCACAACAAATGGTAGTGAATAAGAATGCTTCTTATATCAGCGCGTTCGTATTAGGTAAGCCCGTTAAAGGTTAATACAAACTATAACGACCGCACTCTAGTATACCTGTGAAAAACGACACTGAAATATGAGCAATTTGGTTCAAAATAGTGTCATTTATTTTCATTTTGGGTGTGGCCAACAAGGATTTTCTATGTTTTCCTTTAATCTTATCAATATCAAAATGGCTCATCCCATGATTAACTAGTTTATCAACAACAGGTCAGAGTGACTAAACATTACATCATATTCCTAATAATGCATTTTTCAGCAACACAAGATTATGCTTTTGACTAAACTCCCTTTGAAACAGACTAAATATGTCGAGAAGGCCCATGTGCTTCCAGGGATAAACATCATTGTGCAAATAAATGACTGCAAATTTACATATTAGTACAGATTAGAGAAATGGATACATGCTTTTGAACCTTGCACAAGTAGCACATCTTTGCACAGGTCTTTGCAGAATTGAACATCTGAGCTGGTGTGTTTCCTCCTTAACCGCCAGCACACGCCCAAACCTTTCCACGCCGAGCCTGCGAGATCTTCCTGGCCAAAACCGGTTTGTCAGGCACGAGATCAGATTTCACTGTTGTCATCTTCCCCTTTTCTACAACGTAAGAGACAAGGGAGGGGTGTCGGTTCGGAGGAATAAATGGACTTCATAAAGAGACAGTAGGAGGGAGACATTGAAAGGGGCAAAAGAGTCAAGTACTCACAAGAACGCACACACGCAGACAAACGCACGCACACATACTTTTCACAGTCAGGAGATGAGAAAAAAAAACGTACTTGTTCCTCATGGAGCACTTGTTACCTGAAAGCAAAGTGGGATGTGTTACTGAGATGTATTGCCACTCTTATTCTTGTATTAGCATTTGGTTGGGATTTAAAAAACGATCAAAATGCTTTCATAGGTTTAAATTTGGAACTCACGAACTACAAAGGCGATTCCTCCAAAAAAACAAAAGCCGCAGAAGATCATGCCTCCAATTCGTAGCCTTTCATAGTCTGTCAGACAATGTAGTTGGAAGTTGAGAAGGTTTATTGACAAAACACAATTAGGAAGCACACATTTAATCTAATAATTAAATGTAGAGTTGCCATCCGATTTATTTATGCTTTTTAAAATATATTGCTTTTAAAAATGTGCAAATTTGCAGTGATTTCTCTGCGGATGCGATTTGCAATAATAGTAAGTGAACACAAGAAACTCTGCGCTAGTCTTTTTATAATCCATACAACGAGTGAGATGCTATAGCGCAGCTTATAACAATTAGGAGATAAGAGTGTCTGTACTTACTGTAAGCAAATGGATCTGCAGACCAAAGAGGAGGAGGAGAAACAACAGGCAGAAAGAAACATTAGAGACAAGACTCACTGTAACTCGCTTTAATGGATGATTCAAGGAGTTGAAACTTCTGCAAATGTTCAGTGCGGCCTTCACAACACAATGGTCCTTGTTTCTCTGTCACGTTTAATCTTTTTCATGCACCCGGTTTGGGATGGTGTCAGTAGAATTGCCTTGAATTAGGCCATTGTTAAGATAGTGTTCACGTCATGTCTCTCTAAACCCGTTCCTAAACAAACCAGTGTCAGAATGAGATGAGTTTCAGAAGGAGAGTTTGGGCCTTACTCGCTTCAGCTTCCATGAAAAGGGTGAAGAGAACTGCAAGGAAGTCAGACAAATGAAATGTTAATTTAGTTTTTGCGCTTACATTTCTCTGTTAAAGTGAAAATGTTCAATTAGGGCAGGGTGCTTTTTAATAAATGACCTTTCGCATGGCCATAAAGGTCCTTGAAAATAAAATATTATGGGTATTGTATGCTTATATACTTTTTCTACTTAATTTACCTGCAATGACAGCCACGGCAGTGAGACGACCCATCTTCAGACAACTAAGAGTCGGATAGAAACAGAATGAGATAAAGGCAGAGACGACACGTGATGAATGCTTAATAAACAGAGCCGAGTGTTTTTCCCACCACGTTGCCTTTGTTTCGACACAAACACACGAATGCATACGAGCAACAAATCACACACTCTCCACGGGAAGAATGTCCTTGTTGTGTGAGAGGTCAGTGTCCCGTCAGCAGGGATGCATTCTGGGTGTTTGGAGAGTAAACAGAGGATCACTTTTTTGTCTTGGGGCCAAACTCAGCTGGGTTCCAGACAGCTTGCCTGCAAAACTCCCCTTTACTCCAGAAAAAAACCTGATCGCTTCGGGCCAAACACGGATATTTTACAGGCTTTACAGCCTCCAAATATATTTGCTGATTCTTGTTTTCTCTTCGTATAAGCGGTTGCATTTATAACTGACTTTATAATGGTGATGTCTTGTTTATGCATACGAAATAGAGCAGTTCGTACACATCAAGGCATGAACTTGAAGTCTTCTTGAATCATTTGTTGAAATAACCAAAACAAAATAAACACTTATGTCATGTTACTTATGTTAGTAACGCTATTTTTCAGAAAATGCAACTTTTCAGCAACCTCAGTGTGAATTTTAGCTGATCTCGGACACCTTTAGGTTATTTTCTGCATTTATTTATCTTGAATTTAAACCTTGCATAGCAAAAGCAGAGTGAACTTTGAAATATATCAGACACTTTCCTTGCATTTGATGAATCTGGATCAAAAACTAGCTTTACATTTGATCTTATTCCGTAAATACAGTTTGAAGCAGCTTTTCAAGCAATGGACATCAACTAGAAACAATAAAGACCATAACCTTGCTTTTTTCCCACTCATCCTGGCCTTTGTCTAATATGTTATTGCAGCGTTCAGATAGCATGACATTTGTCAAGGTCAAACTTTGTCCCATGTCTTTCAATGTAACCCTTGTCTCAAGTGATTTTCTGGTTAGGTTTAAACACAATTTTACCAAATAATGTCTTTTTGCTTGCTAGAGGGGATGTAACAGTTCACTGTCCTTCACAGAGTATTGATGTTATGCCACATTATCATTCTTAGATCATTTTTTAGTTTACCAAATTACTGCAGTGCTGGGCTTCTTAAATATTTAAAAACCCTGATCCAGTTTGAAAAAATATACTGTCTCAATGTATTTTTAAGATAGCAACATGTTGCTTTTGTTAAGTTGAGACAAGCCAGAAATCAGCCCATATGTTATTATAGTGCTTGTCAAACATGGACACAATGTCACAAAGTATATGAAAGAACATTCAAATGCTGTGAAAAATGGTCACATTCACCATATAATACATTTTCAACACCAACATATTTGTGATCATTTTTCACTAACGCAATTTAAAAGCTCCTCAAATGGACTCCACCCACCACATGCCTATCTTTGATACCACAAAACCCCCAAACTAAAACCGTCAGAATAAAGCACAATCACACAAGAATCACAACCCCTCCATTGGAACAGTGACTGGCATCCTACCTGTGCTTACCTGAGCTGACGGTTCAGAGGCAGATGGGTGTGTGAATGTTCCGAGACACTGCCTGGTCAAAAGTGTGCATTTTGTATTTCACCTGATTAAGGTTCACCTGCTCCTCCTCTTTGTTTGGTATATAAACTTAGGTGTGCGTGTGACACGTTTACGCGTAGGCCAGTTGTTCCATAAACATCAGCGTATGTGTACGTTGGCATGAAAGTCATTTGTGATTTGAGGGACTATTTTGAGAGGCTACTTAGACATCGACATACACTCTACTTTTATCATACACTTGACATACTATTAAGATAATACACCAGCAAGACTGCTTTGACAAACAGTGACAGTCGATGAAGCCTTTATAGATGTGTCATCACTTCAACCGGAGGTGTTGCCAATCAAAATACAACTTCCGTTTTTATTCTATGTAGTGTACATCAAGTCGTCCAGTAGACAAAGACGGGAGGAGTGTATGCATGTATTGAACAGTGCATTATTTGTTGTCTCCCCCTCTGTGACACCGTCAGGTGGAATGGGTGGCATTTCGTTGGTCTTATGGATGACGGGTATTTCACTCATTTAGTTTTTACTAAGGAGGGAGGGATTTTGACTGTAACCTATGTTAGGAACGATTCAAACTCCCAATCTTACAGGGAGCATTTCAAGTTAAAACGTTGTCCCAAATGAAATACCCCTTAAATACCCAACAAGTGGAATTTGTTTTGTGGCACACGCTGTGTTGTACGTTGGTGGGTGTCACCCCCGTATCCACGATACGAGTGTGCAGAGCCAGTGCATGCATGTGCCAAAGTGGTGATCAGTGACTATTAATATATTTTCCTGTGCCAGGCTGACAAAGCCGAGGCATGCATCAGCCTCTCAGCCAATTATGATACTGAGGGCACAAGGGTGTGTGTGTGCGTGTGTGTGTGTGCGTGCGTGCGTATGTAAGTGTTAACACAAAAATTTGACGGCAAACTACTGCAGCAACTGGTGATGATAAAAACCGAGAGCAAAAGATTAGAGACAATACTTATAGTGGATTTTTCACTCCCATCCCCCTATTTTAAAGTCATTTGCATAGATTGGATTTGATGGATTACTCAAAGAGCCTTGATTTCTCAAACCGATTTGCATCCAGTTTAAAATCACCTCTATAATGCACAATAATACAGATTGAAGACGTGTATCCGTTGTTCCTGGTATCTGTCTGCATGAAGCGTGACATTGATTGCTAGAGGTTAAGTAAAGGTCACTGTGTTCCATGGCGATGGCATGTCACTGATAGACTGAGGGGTTTCGTTCAGCACATGGAGGATTTTGGAAGAATCGATTCATATCTTTAAAAGTATTACAAGATGGTCCTGAATGAGATGTCGCTTAAAAATAGTTTTACCATGAAAAAGAAGGTTGACATTGATATGGCCATCTGATAAATGTCCAGTAGGCTTCAAATGTAAATGTTAGGTGACAAAAAGGGGGAAAAATCCTGTGTTTTGTCTACTAATCTTTGCTGCTTTAGTCTGTTGTTCTTTTTAGAGAATATCTGAATGGCTTGAGTTAAGATGTAGAGGTCAGGGAAAAGCATTCTACACGCTGTAAAGTCTATTGTCACCTCTGCTGCTAACTTCACTCAACATTAACTGGTTACTATTTAACTTTAATTGTAGTAATTCAACATTCCATTCAACGTTTCCTCAGGTATTGAAAGGTTTTGCAGGTGTAGCGGAGCTTAGGGTCACCTCGAGAACACACTGAACAATGAAGGTTATCAGTGGACACACACACACAACTTATGGTGGTATTTAAGATGTTTGTCCATAAACAGTAAAACGAATGTCAACGGAAGGCCACGGATGGAGTCAGCTTACACAGCAGTGAATGAAATCCAGCTATTATATCTAATAGGATCCTATGGACATCAAATAAACCTGCAGCTAACAGGTGGGTCATTATTTACGTCTTATTTAAAAACCCTTAAAAACTTAAGCGGTGGGTCCTCACATGGCAAGAGGATTTGTGTATTTAGACGCGTTATGTTGGTACGCTTCCCAAACCCAGATCACAAATGATGACCCAACTGACTCCTACTATAAATGGACCACCTCGTTGCTTCATCTGTGGGAATTCATCTTCAGTGTTGGAGAAAGTGAAGAAATCAGACAGCAGAATATGACAGGACCCCATCATGAGTGAACCGAGCAGAGCAGCTGAGTCAACACGTTGCTCCATACGGCCTCTGTTGTATTGACTAAAAGAAAAGGCTGGACTTCTCTCCTGCTGATGGCCCTGTCTGCATGTGTGTGTGTGTGTGTGTGTGTGTGTGTGTGTGTGTGTGTGTGTGTTGCTAGCTCTCCGTTCTGCTCTTTCAGGTGTAACAACACTGGGAGAGTCATGAAATATCAAACGTCAAAAGCAGTGAAAAAACACTTTAATGCGTTGATTTCCCAGATATTGCGTGTTTCCTTAAAGATGCAATGCATTTATTTATAATTTATAGCATATCATTGTCATTGAGGAACGTTTTGGTGTATCATGTTTTTTTTTGTCATATGGACAAATTAGCAGGATCATTAAAAACCAGTTGGAGGGCATTGCAAAGTTAAAAGGGGACTTGGCGAAAGCAATTTGGCTACCTTAGACTAAACCCAACGATGGCTCTTTAAGAAAGATAGAAACTGTCCGTGTTGGCAAACTTGTGAATGGGTGAATCAACCCCGCGCACCGCAAATGACTATAATGAAGCTGGATGACGGCTACCAGATGAGACAAAAGCAGCCTTGATCCGGCTCACACTGCTGCCTCTTGAAGCTGGTGAATGCACGTGAAGGCCGAAGGGTCCGTGGCAGTGAGCGTTTGTTCCTGACAGCATGGAACGCGCTCACCACCAGGGGGGAGCAACAGACACGCCAACGCCGCGACCACGTCAGTGTGGGGTCACTGGCGGCGAGTCCCCCCAGCTTCTGAAGGTCGAGGGATACAGAAATCCACAGTTGTTTGCAAATAGTTTTTGTTTTGATATAATGCAGCTTCGGTTTGGACGATTGCAAAGGACCACACACCTCGTTTTAGGCAAAGACAACATGAGAAAAGCACGAGGACCATTCAAAATGTAACGTTCGGACACATTTTCTCAATCCATTCTATGAGAAAGGTGAACGTGTCACAGTGTAGTGTGAAAACAACAAACTAATCTGGGCACTGAGTGCTTCCTTCAAGTGGAGCGACCGTGAAAGAGAAACTTACTAAACTGGTTGGACGAGCCTGGCGAGGACACGACTAGTATTTCACCTTTAATCGTTTTTTGGGAACACAGCTGTGATACATATGTGGAAGCACAAAACAGCTATTCTGGGCCTCATTCAACACTAAATCCCTCCCCACTTTGATAACATCGCATAAGACATTTCACACATTTATAGTATATAAAGTTTATAAAGTAACCGCCACATGTGCTGTTGTGTGCATGCTACATTATATACTGGTAGGATGTATATAACGTGTGCAAGGCCCGGTTATTCAAGACAAAAAAGGTAAAAGTGAAGATGTCCAGGATGGACCCGGCCTCAACAGAATAACCTCCAGACATAAATACAGCTCTTTTTCACTTAGATTGTCCAAAAACGTTTGACGCTTCCATTCTTTCCATGTGGGTTCGAAGGTAGAGAGCAACATAGAGAGCCGTCTCCTTTTACTCCTTTGTTACTATTGTGGTCGAATCCTCCGGTGTTTCTCCGCTCCCTGAAAGCACACAAAGGCATCACAGATGACTTTATTCAGTTGTAAATATGGGGTCGGTGCATTCAGCGGCTTGTAGAAAGTCGGCTTACAGAAGCACTTCTGCAGCCTCTCAGATCTCTGCAGCATGACGTACAGTAAGCCGAAGACCAACAACGTGCCAAAGAAGCCGCCAATGATACAACCAATGAGAATGGCGTGGCTGGTGCCGTTATCTAGGGGTGAGGATGATAGTTAGATATACACTTTATTAATCCCCAAGGGGAAATTATTGTGCAATAGCAGCAGTACAGTAAATAAAGTGAGAAATGAAAAATGTATACACAGCACAGTAGAATAAAATAAAAGAGCAGAACATATTAAATTAAGAGAGAGGAGTATGTACAGTGGGGTGGGATATGTATTAAATTAAATTTGAAAATTAAATGAAGACAGTAGTGTTGTTGTTCAAATAAACGAGGATTTAGAGGTGTTTTGTTGTAAAGTCTTATTGCAGTTAGCAGGAATGTTTTCCTGTATCTGGTCGGATGGTCAGTATCACTACTTGTCATCTTTAATGGCATGTTGAACTAAGGAAATACAAATGACCTGTCTGTATTTATGCTGTGACAGACAGAAATGCAGATGTTAAATTGAATCGGAGGAATCTTTACCGTAGACGTGCAGCACGGCAGCAGCGCTATTAGGATTCTTTGGCTGCTGACAGGAGACCTGTGTCCCGTTGTCGGAGAAAGAAGTTCCCTTTAGGGTCCACACAGCTGATGACTCTCCATTTCTCACCTCACAACTTCCATAGAGAGCCTGAAGGGAGAGACGGGGATGAAGAGGCTTTCAGATAAGAAATGAGAAGGGATTGAAAACAACTGAACCTGACGTGAGCTGTGAGAAGCTCCCACTGGTAGAAACGTTAAATAATCAAAATCAAAAGCAGCTTTTCAAGCACGACTCTGAGAGATGTTGCTCTCTCCCTCCGCTTTGTGTGACATCCAGCTAGTGTCACTGAGGGGGGAGGAAAGAAGAAGATGAGGGTGAAGCGAGGCCTTAGAGGGAATACAGAATTAGACGCCGGGGCCAGCTTACCTGGGGAACGTCTTCCACGTGGCCCGAGGGGCACGTGAGGAGGTAGTTTCCGTGCGCCCCCCGCAAGGTGAATGTGAAGTCTGGAGAAGCTTCGGGAACTCCACAGCGAAACACGGCCGGTTCTCCAACAGCCACTGTGACGTCGGCTGGGTGAGTGCGGAAACCGTCAGCGGCTGACGTGGTGATGTTTTGAGCTGAAAGCAAGATAACGTGTGGAGGACGTGTGTGTGTGTGTGTGTGTGTGTGTGTGTGTGAGAGAGTTTGAGAAAGAGAGAAGTACGAAAGATCAAAGTGTGGAAAATAATATAATAATAATAACATTTAAGGCATTTTTATAATCTGTTTTAAATCACTTTCCATTTATTCAAATAGAAAAAAAGAATCACACGAGGAAACAACATATGTGTATGTGCATGTTTTCAGTTCAACTCTAATGTGAGTAAGTAGAACTTCACTAAGTGATCTGGAATCCCTGGATGTGTTTCGTTACCTGAAGAGGGCGCAGCGAGTTGGAGAAGAGTCAGCAGGTGAAAGCAGAGAAGAAAACTCTTACTTTTCTTTCTCATCTCTTCTTTTACCATCAACTCCATTATTTTCTCCACTTAGTGTCTCTTATTCTGTAAACATTGAAACATATTACTTTTCTTTTCCACCCACACCAGAGTAACACACTAAGCGTGTAGTAAAAGATTGCTTGTGTTTTCCTTCAGATTACATGTGATGTGAATGACTTTGAAAGTTAATTCAATGTATTGTTACACGCACATTTAATGTGAAAAAGCTGCCAATGTTTCAGGACACATCCAAATGTTATCACTTGTATTTTGTTTATTGAGCACTTGGCATCCACAGATGTTATAAATCAATGTTTTTCTCAATCAAGTTTCTGTCACCCATCTTGACTATTTTGACAAATAAAATAAAATGGGATTAGTATCTTGAAATGTAAAGAAATAGATTATTGACACTGACCGAGGATGTGAACTGGAAATCCCCACAGAAAGTCTGCAGCCTGCAGACAGCTTATTTATTTGAAGAATATGACGCAGCTCGAAATGAATTCTCAGAAGAAAACGTATCCAAATACATACATCTACTGCCTCAATAAAGAAAAAAGAATTGTCCGACTCACTCGACACCTCTGTGCGACTCGCTCCATTATCCCACTCCAACTAAGGGGGAAGGTGGCACCATCAAGTTATGACAAAAATGAGCAGATTCAGTAGATGGACTTCTGCGAACTAGAAACAGGTCTAGCAGGCCCGGCCAAGAATAGCAGCCGGCAGAAACGTCAGTGCTCACCATGAAAAGCCTTTATGCTTCCCCGTACTGTTGTCTTCCAAAAAATATACAAACATTTTTAAAGTTTGTCACTTGGATGTGGAGGTGTAAAGCATCATAGAAGCATACTGGAACACTTGAAATTATTTATATGCCTTTAAAAGAGTTAAATAAAGCCTCTTGAACCAATAAATAACTTCACCTGTCATCTGTGTATGCTTTAGATATATCTTAGCACCACTCAGTGGTTGAAATAGAAAATAGAACATAATATATAACGCTGAATCACTAAATGCTAATACAGTATTTGGCTGCAAATAACTTTAATTTACTTCAATTTAAGTAATTATTAATTTTATATATATATATATATATATATATATATATATATATATATATATATATATATATATATATATATATAATTATATAATTAAGAATGACTATATATTACTAATATATAGTATATATATATAGTATATATATATATATATATAATTATTGGTTGAACAACCATGACAATTACAGTTGTGTTGATCACTGTTAGACAGGAGAGACGACGGATTCTGTGAAGTTGAAAGACAATGATTATATTTAGCCTCTGCTTCTTCATTGACACTGTTGCAGTACAAATGGGATGACAACATTCTGTAGAAATAAATAAATCTGTCTGTACAAACATGTGTGCCAGTCAAACTGGTTTCATTGAATATCTGAAAACTTGGAGCTGACAATGGTGCTAGATGACAGCCAAAAAGGCCCAACCTCCTGGCAAACCATCCAACTAATCCAAGTGGACATATTTCATTCTGGACTGGACACAGACGTTTCAAAAAGAGTAAATGTCTGAAGGACACTACACAGCAAAATTCTTAGAGTTCATTTTTTGGTGTTGGGGAAAAGTGCAGAGTTGAAATCACAAAAGTTGATTCATCTGTTACAGAGTCAATTGTACAAAAGAGGTGGAGTCATTATCCAGGACTTGGGTTTTTAACTCCACACAGAGTGTATTTATCACTGATCTGATTCATTTGCGACACTTAGTAGAGTTAAATTAACTCTTTGATAGATTTGAAATGTAACTGTACACCAGTGTCACACTTCATGGTGTTGGGTTTAACTCTACGTTCAGTGTATTTAACGCTGAGCAGATTTATTTTTGACACTTATTCCGACTTATGGATAACACGTTGAGTGTTCATTTAACACTGACAAGATTGGGACATTATAAACACCAGCTTAGAGTTAAAGTTGAATCTCACAGAGTCAATTTAACTCTGATATTTGCTGAGACGTCACACACGGATAACAATCTGAGTTAGTTCCAAGTTTGACGCAGTGGACATTCAAAGTCTACTTCAACCCTTCAAACCTCAAAGTTTCGTAACTTCAAAAAAACATTTGAGAAGGAAGAAAACAATGGTGACTTGCATTATATAAATACAGTTATATAAATACAGTTTCAACCACAAGTTCCCCATATAAAAGGCCAAGGGGTCCCAGTGGAGAAGAGAAGCGGACGACATCCAGGGTCCCGGTGAACTTAACCAAGGTTTATTATCAATAATTCAAAGGGGAGAGGGGGAAGGGAGAGAAAAACGATAAGGTCTGATACGTATGTATGGAAGGCGGAGTAAACAATCTTACTGTCACAGGTAAAATCATTGTGCGTCGATTGTGACTCTTTGTGCTTTTATCAATCATTCACTTCCTCTTCCGGTGTTTCACACACTTTATTTCCAAAACATGAGAAAAGACGAGAGACAAATTATGTTTTGATCCTGTTTTAATCTGGATATTTTTTAATTAAAGAAAGTCACAGTTTGCCATGGTATAATGTAGTTTGTGTGCAACCACTGAGTGAATTACCGTACATCTCTTGTCCTACACAACAACATGGCCGGTGACCTCGGCACAAACATAATCCTACCTGATGTGTTTTGCACAGTAACTGTTTTCATCAGCTAGGAAGTGAAACAACCAGCAAGACACTGGTAGGATCCTTGTAAGAAACACACAGGCATCTCAGCTGCAGCAATATATATGTCGTTTATACGACTTTTGGGTGTGAATTACAGTTTTACAGTGAAACTAGACCTGCCAATCCATCTTTTAAATTGACAAATGTGAGATGTGTAATTCATGGCACGATGCCAATGGGATCAAAAAAATTAATTTGTCACCCAGCATTGAATTTTATATCCATTAGAACTAACTAACTGGCCGTGGCTCCGCCCCCTCGGTATCACGATCTCTATTTCCTTTACTGATGCAGAGTTGAGGGCCAGAGTTTACCCCGACAGTGTGAGAGCTGGAGACAACGTTACTCTCAAATGTCAAACGTCCTGCCAGTTTCCCAGCACAGTTTGGTTTAAAGGTGAACTTCCTGTAGCCAACTCAGAGTTCCAGGCTCAAGCAGAGGATGCTGGGAATTATTGTTGTGCTGCCAAAGGACAGGAGTCCATTCCATCTGAACCTGTGGCTCTGAAAGTACAGTGTAAGTACGTTTATTATGACACTGTTGGTCTAAAACCTCACTGAATTTATGTAGTTGCTGCCCGTAATTGTATATTGAGTTAGAAACGCAGATTGATGTCACTTTCATGTCTCTCCATTAATTAGAAGCTACTGTCGGCAGCAAAATGCTGAATTGTCTTAACATCTTTAATGCTTTAATTTAGCCATATTTTGCAAGCGCTTCTTTTAAGACAGGCAAAACTTCAAATTTCTACAGTTGGATTATCTAGTAAAGTACAAGATGTTTTAAATATCCTAAATATGCGTCAAATCAGACACAGAGCCAAAAACGTTTTCAGAAAACCTTTTGATTCAATTTGAGACGAAGGAACTGAAAGTTTAAAAATGCAAACTAATGTCTGGGTTGAAGACACTTTTAGCATTCTAGTTCTGCTTTGACTAAAGCTGATCTGGATTATCTATGACTGGGAGCCCTCCTTCATGTTCATTTGTTGCAGATCCCCCGTTGATTGTATCTGTGGGGTGAGTTATTCGGACCACCTGACAGAAGTGTGAATGTGAGCTGCAACAGTGCTGCTGACCCTCCTGCAGACAACTACACCTGGTACAGGACCTCTGCTTCTGGCTCCAGCTCCTGGTTTCCCCTCCCGCTGGGATCAGGACCGGTGCTGTCTCTCTCCTCACGCTGGACTGGTGGCAGGTGGGAATACGCTGCCCTTTCAGTAAAATGAAAAACAAATTAAAACAAAATGTCTAATGGTTCCTTTTATGTTTCAGAGAAGCACCAATGATCATGACAACATCGGCACTGACTAAATGGGCGAAATAAGGTGGTTATACAGAATGAAATACTGGAAGCTGACCTCTGCCTGAGCCTGGCAACGATTCATTAGCCTGCAGTTCATTTCTATCTTTGCTGTCTGCAGCTCAAGGTACAAACCGACCGCGACCTCCTTTCCTTGCAAAGGTTCAGTCCTTCTAACGCCACTGGAGACATCACCAAGAAAACAGAACTTAATTTCAATGAATGAAGGCAAAATGTGCAAAATGTCTCTCAATAAATACCTTTTCATCATGAATCACTGTGGTTGAATCAAGATCTGCTGCCACCTTGAGTTTAACATATTTATTTGCATCATGTTTTGGTAAACTGCTTCAATGTCCCAACTACATCTCAGAATGCATACAGAACAAATGGTGACACATACTTAAAACAGCTTTAAAATGAGAACCTCATTTACACATTACAATGTGTAGACCTTCTCTTTCTCATGCAATCATTAAATATATGTAAAGAAACGTGAGTGAGGCGAACAAACTTTATGTAAAATGGTCTCATTAAATACTAGAAAAAATAAGCACTTTCTTGTTAAGTCTATTAGCATGTGTGCACCACTTCCCTGACTTCAAAATAATAAATCACACATAACATTCTAAAAATAGACGAGGACCCTGGGTGAGGAGTTGACGTCCAAGAATCTTTTATCAACGGATGTTATAGTCACTGTCCTTCTGGTTTTCATCCTCAGTCTCTGCTCATTATCTTTTAGGGCCTTATCACGCTTAAGAGTTTACTCAAAACCTCGGAGACGAGTCCCCGTAGTAACTGCAAACAGCTTCTAATTGGATCATTATCGCTGTGTTTTTCCGTCATCACGTTCATTCTCATCATGTTGACCGACAGGCTTCGAGCACAGGCTGCTCCTTGACATCGCTTTGAGAGAACTGCGTGCTCTCTGTGGCGCCATTCTGAAATCGTTATCAGCACATTTGTAGTCGCCATATGTATCCAACCATAAAGGAGGCATTTAAAGTCACATCTCCTCTGTTCCTGCGAAAGTTCAACCGACTGAGAACTGGGGATTCTGAGTCTGTTATCTTTGAGATAATATGTCATTTGTCTCTTGACAATAGACTTTTCTGTCTCGAAGCACAATCACACTTAAACAAATGGAACAAATACATACAGATATTCAGGCTATTTCTTCATTTCTGTTGGGTTTTCAAATAAACCTCGTTAAGCTCATAACATTGAAATTGAGGAAATGAGGATTTCAGGATCGGCCCCACTGGCCTGACAGTCAGGTGAGGACGAGTCTTGTGATGGTTGAAGTGAGTTTGCACTTTGCTTTGTGATTTGTGCTGGACGAGTCCTCAAGGTCCTGAAGCAGTTGTCTCAGTGAGGACATACGACTGGTGTCTGGAGGACTTCTGTCTCCTGAAAGGACAACGACTTGATCAAAAAACAGTGACATTTACATTGTCAAGTTATTTTGATCCTAGTATGTTTGTCTTGAAAAACAACAGTTTATTAACTGAAGATCGTTGGCTAATATGCAGAGTGCACTGTGGACATGACCTCACACATTTAGTGACACCTCATAATCACATCTCGTTATTGCAACAAACACATGAATAGAAAGTGTTATGTTTGAAGCACCAGGAGGTTTCAGTATCACTTCATGTATGTAACACCGGATATTTTTAACCACACACACATGATAGTATAAGAGCTGCCCTTATTTTCTTGTATTTGACATTATTTTCTCTTTATTATCAACCAACCAATCAGGTATCTCTAAAGGCTTCCATTGCCAAAAGGCTGATGGAAATATGATAAAAGCAAAGAACTCACCGGGTCAAGAGAAAGGCCACTATGGCGACAACAGCCAGCAGAACAGCGACGGTCACGCCGATAAATACATGCCTGCCTACTGAAGAGTCAGATAGGGTCGTCCCTGCAGTGGACAGAAATGGGATAGAGCCTCAAAGAACGTCCTCAGGCCGTCTTTGATGCAATGTGCATGTGAATAGATGGAAGTTGCACCATCAGTGTGCACAACGTGGTATTTCACAATGCTGTGCTTCACGACAGACAACGTCTTGTCATGTCAAATATATAAATACTGGGGGGGCGGAGTAATTCATTTTCTGTTGTATCTTGAAGGTAGAGAAGAGATAAGTAAGTTGGTTAGGTGGAGCAGAAGAGGTGAGCCATTACTTACAGGACTGCTCGCTCGATCTCCTGCTCTTTACTTTTATGAACATTTTTGAGCAAAACCCAATATTTCCCAATTTAAACAAAGGAAAGCAATTGAAGCAATTTTTTTTTACATAATAACAACAGGTGTCACATCTGTCACAGCTACTCAGGTGTGAGTCTGGAACTATTTTCTACAGGATTGAGGGGGAACAAACATGGTCGCCACTGAAAACTGCAAAAAAACGTTGATTGTTCGAACGGCGTGTTGGCCGTTGACCTACCTGTGCTACCCGGCAGCGTTATGCTGTCGACCTGCGACCCGTGTGTGTTGCGTGCCACGCAGCAATGCTGCGCATAATGCTGAAGGGTGATGTTGGTACTGCTGAGAGTCAGGCCTGCTCCGGTGCTCTGAGCCCTGGATCGCCTTGCTTGATGAAGGCTTTTGTCCGCTGCAGGGAGACACGCTGCCCCCTGGTACCAGGCGTACGTGCGGACAGGCGGGTTAGCGTCGCTGCTGCAGGTCAGAGTCAGGGAAAGGCCGGCCGGTGTCTGGGACACTGAGATGTGTGTGTTTCGTGGGGAATCTAGACATGAAAGAGACAAACAGTCAGTTACCTATGTGTTCCTTCAGAAGCACAAAATACTAAATCAGGATACTCACACTCCACATCAATGTGCAGCTTTTTGGAGGTCTGCACTTTATCTGCAGTGTGTATTTGACAGTAGTAGCTGCCAGAGTCATCAGATGTGACCTCGCCGATGCTCCACACCCGTCCCGTGCGCGGCGGGCTGGTGCTTGTGCTCTTGTGCCATCTGAATATTGCCTGCGGACCGGCCGCAGGGTTGCAGCAGGCCAGACGCAAAGCCCCGCCCTCCGCGATGTCACCGGAGGGGCTTGCGGACACTGCGATGGCGCTGGAGTTGTCTGGATTAAACAGCGATGGGGAAAAGTGCATACGTGGTATTCACTTTACATGTTCAAGGAGTAATCCAATCACCATTTGATTGGATGGTATGTATTTGTATGTTTGTATTTCAAGCAGGACAAAATAAATACATGAAAACAATGGTTTTGCTGGCTGTTACAGAAAGTCTATCCATTTGTGACCATTAGTTTTAGTTTTCTTTTTTAGTTGATATTAGTTTCTTCTACACACCGAAAATGAAATTGCTTTTCAATTTCAATTCAATTGCTCTGAATCCCTTGTTTTTGATCGGCAGAGAGTCTGTAGTTTGTCTCTACGTGTTTGTCTGTCACGATGACTGGGCTACAGAAGGTAAGGGGCCTTTTGATTAAACTACACGATTATTACTGATGTGCACTCAGTGGTCCGTGGCAGTTCTCCTTCTTATAAATAGCTCAGTGTCAAACAGAGTCGCATAAAGGAAGTGGTTCACTTGAATTCGGTCGGTATGTTATACAATGGTTCAGGAATTGAACACAAACAGCTGTCAGGCCTCAGCGAGGCGGTGTGCTAGTGAGAAACTAACATTTACAAATACAGTCAGAACATTTAAGAAGGACAAACAAAAGTACTCATGAACTGCCGCTTTTTCTTTTCTGACTTTAGAAGTCAGATATGGGGGTCGTCGTGGCGCAGGGGTTAGAGGAGGTGTGCTGGGAAGCAAAAGGTTGGTGGTTCGATTCCAGGCTGCCCCATGTTCCATGTCGAAGTGTCCCTGAGCAAGACACCTAACCCCTAATTGCTCCCCGGGCAAAAATGTGAAAAAAAAAAATCTGCTAAATGACCTGTAATGTAATATCAAGACAAAACTTGTCTTACGGCCCCTATTGCTTCTTTTTTTGAAGAGATTCTAGTCATGAGATGTGATGACTGTCATCATGCTAATCATGGTCAGTGGTGAACAACATATTCCCACCTGCCACCAGGAGCTGTACGCCGCTCTGCTCCGGCATCTTCTGTGTCGGGTGGCTGATGATGAGGTAAAACACGTATGCTCCGCTGTCCGACGGTCTCAGATCGGAGATCCTCAGGGAGCAGTTTTTTGTCCCTGGGTGTCCCAGGTACTCCACCCTATTCTGGTAGGATGGATCTGGGGAGATGCCGGCGCTGTGGAAGACGTATCTGAGAGGGACAGGCAGACTTATGACTTTCTTTCCTTGTGCTATGAGTGCTTTGTCTAAAATGATGAAAAGAATACGTGTTTCAGTGCGTGTCCGCCAATACCTCGGTGTTATACAGCGACTGCTTTCGAGACACCACATCTCAGACAAAACTTTGTGCTTTTGTCCTTCTTCTTCTCCTCCTCCTCCATCCTGATAAACAAATGGACACATCTGCTGAAGAGGACGTTTTGTAACCTTGGCTCCAGGGTTTCAAAGCACTTATTGTAAGCTTTGAATTGTTTTTTAATCATCTGCCTGTCACTGCATGTTCCTTTCTGATACAGATTTGAAATATTGTAGTCAGTCGTCTGGTTAATGAAATAACAGCGGCGAACGATGTCTTCTTCATGGAATTACCCGAGTCGAGAGCCGTCCCTCTTCGGTTTCATTCGAAGGTTGGGGGTAGTCATAGGAACAAGGGAGAACCACAGAGGAACCAATCACAGCACAGATCGGACTGTGGGGGAGATGAACTGACCAATCAGCTGCAAGAATACCTAATGAGCAAATAATAAAAATAGGTAAAAATATTTAATAACCACCAAGTTACATTACAGCAATGTAAAATGAATTCAACTAGTTAGCTCGTTTTAAAGGTTACGAGGAAACATATTTTACATATGATTTATTTTCAGTATTAAATGACATAATCCAACATTGTAGTTCTGAACATCTGCACATACTTAAAGCCAAATGAGAACGGTCTGCTTATTGGAAGAAAACAACACAATTTGATATTCATTTATTGAAATTTGTAGTCTGGTTGTTGTTGTTGTAACTTCAGCAGACGGGGAAGGTCTTTCACAAATGCCACTGACATAATCCTCCAATCTGTTGTGACCTCAAATCAGCCTTTAACGGCACCTTAATGTCACTGTAAGAATGAGCCGTCTAACTCGACACTTTCAGTTTAATGTTGTCACATTACCTTTGAGGGAGAGCGTGACCAGCAGCCAGCACCAGCACTGTGCTTCCCGTCCACCCATCTTCTTGTCTTCTTGTGAACTCCTGACCTTCCTCCCTCAGTCGCCTGCTTGGCCTTTTTGGGGTTCCTTTGTCTTTTCTCGCCTCCCTCTGTGACTCCGTCAATCCACCGTCTCTCCTCTACTTTTCAGTTCGCTCAGTGATGTGACAACTTCTCTTCCTCCCGAGCAAAGACGGTTTTGGTCAGACTGTCCAACTTCCCTTTTATTTTCTTTACCAACGAGGAACTGTGACTTGGCTTTTATGTCAACCACGGGAGCTCACCGTGAAGGAACGTGTGTGTAGATGTTGTCTAGGGGACACGGTGTCCACCGGCCCCGCAGAGACATGAGGCTTCATTGACATTAGCTCCCAGTAATCCCTCTATGAAAACACCCAACATCTCTAAATCACTGACCGATCAACTCTCTGTGAAATTGTGTGTTATTACTGTGTAGCACCGTGTTTTCACCTGCAGCATGTCTGCAGCAGGTCTCTGGTCCCCTGTCTGTCCCCCCCAGAAGCGACCAGGTGACGTCACTCGCGCCCCCCTCGTGTGCGCAGCGGCGCGCGCACAGACGACCACTCAGAGCCAACAAGTCGGGATAGACTTTCACTAACTTCGTCTCGGTCTGTCTTTTCTATTTAGTCTTCCAAATGTTTCCCTCTTCCCTGTTGGAAGCGGGCGTCGGTGGTTTCGGATGATAGAAGCGGTCGCTAAAACGTGGCTTCTTCTTTCTTTTTCCTCCTCTTGTGTCGTTGTTCGAGGTCAGTAACCTGCGAAGAAGGCACGAAGGATTTACCGCAAACGGGGATTTATCTGAGCTGCCGTTTCAACGGTGAACAACACCCTGGTGGCATATTTTTGAAGCAGAATAGAATGTTTTGTTTTTTCGATTTTTCGAAGCTGAAAAAAAGGAGATAATTTGTTACTAGCGGAGGCCAGTAACGCACCTGCAGCGAGAAAATACAGGTGAGTCACGTTTCAGCCCTTTGTGCTAAAACTAAATGCTTATAGTGACCGGGCTGCAGTATTTCCTATTAATAGCAACCAGCAGGTAGGAACGTAAGCTCTCACACGTTTTTAATATAATTGTTTTTTTTAATAGTTTATAGTATAATTTTATAGTTGTCAACATTAGTTTATTGAGCTGAATATTGTTGCATCTATTATAGCTGTTGAACCACTTTAACGTTTAGCACATCATGCTTTTTGCCTGTGAAAATTGGTAATGGCGAGTTTACTTTTCCATAAACTTTGGAACTTTAATCATTTGCTCCCAGTGGTCTTATATCACGTGTTTAACCTTTGGTTAATAAAGACAACAGACGTTTATAATAACTAGCTTGTTCACCACACAGACTTTAGGAAAAAGCAGCTCAGTCAACAAAAAAATTAGGTCTGAAATGGATTTTTTTACATTTTCTTCAATTTCCATCATAGAAATCATAAGTTACGTATTTTATTATATGTGTTTGTGTTTGTTTGTGGGTGGGTGTTCTAGTTTAAGGCCAAACAGTTTCATTCATGTTGTATATTGTAGATAATCTTTAAAAAATCTAATCAAATTTAATTTCACTTGGTTTAACTATCTATGTTTTGGTAAATGTTCCTAAAATATGATGGTTTTTTTGTCACTTAAAACCCTCAATATTATATTACCAGGCAAGGGGGACTGGGAAAGCCTTACACCACCTGCACTCAGGAGTCAAGGAAAGAAGCAAGGAAGCAAGGAAGCAAGGAAGGAAGGAAGGAAGGAAGGAGGGAAGGACGGCGACAGATTGTTGTCTATTGTTGCCCTCGGCTTCCTATTGTATTCAGATGTATGCAGAGAAAGTTGTGGCGGAGGGGAAGATGGGTGAGTGCACATGTTACATACACGGTTGACCGTGCCATCATTCACATACACACACACACACACACACACACTCACACGCACACACACACACACACACACACACACACACACACGCACAGATTAAAATGCTGAGCTGGTCTTGCTGCAGCGCATGCTGCTTGTTTTCTGTATTTGGGATCAGACACCAGTTAACCATTAACTATTTGTTCTAAGCTGACTGGTTGTCTCTCTGATGTTCACTGGGTTTATTTTGGAAGTTTCTCTTCCAGCTTTAAATACATAAACTTTGATTACTTATATTTTTTCTTCTGATCTGATTTCTATAAATCATAACCCAAACGGAAATGTGTCCAAATGACACTTTGGCGCATTATATTTACAGTAGTGACCAATCTATCCTAGCAGTCACGAACAAACAGCTCACTGTAAGTCTCGATGAAGCTCTCCTACCTGATGCAGTCAAACACACTCCCATCAGCATCATTTTAATGGAAACCAGACACTTCACAGCGATCCTGCTACCTGCTATAATGCAGTAGCTTTGTGGCTCCTCGTGAATTTACTACTAACAAGACAATGCTGTTATGGCGGTACAGATAATAGTTCCTATATTTGACTCCTGCTAGAAAGCGCTTCTTTCAGTCTGAACTATGCGCTAAATATATCTGTAGACAGTAAACTCCCCTTTTATATGTTTACACCCCACAGCCCTGGTAGACCAAAGCACACCTACCGTACATTGCAGGTACAATGAAGCCAGTAGCCTCCCATTAAGTGAAGTCTGACAACATCTCCAAATCTTCTTTCGTTCTCATCAGAAGGTCTTCTTGTTGCGCTGCAACTTACTTTCTGTGTCTTTACAAAGTTCAGCTTTGGATTTGTAGTCTCTGTTGCCAAACTGAAGGGAACCCACCCATATGCAATGAGTCAGGCTGTGTTTTTCATGTGTGCGTAATTACAAGGGAAAATAAGGTTCCGCCAAGGAGGGGCACACATGGTGTGTGGTCTATTTTTTGTCTGTGCTTTAGTAGAACATTATCTACTTATAGAGACAAGCTGTGTTTAGCTTCAACATGACATGCATTCGGTTTACATGTGTGAACAAGTACAGAAAGGGCACCATGCACATTGCCATACATTCATACTTACAGCCATAATCAGACTAGTATTTCCTGCGCAGTATGATTGTGTTTATTTTTACTGTTCTGTCACAACAACCACTGCAAACATGAGTTACAGCTACTACTGTGTGTGCGTCAGAGAGGTTTTCTTCTGTTTATTGTATTGTTTTTTATTACTGCTATAACCATACTGTGGCAAGCCCATGGGTGGGGACTTCCACGTCACGGGTTCAAGGACTCAAGCCAGTCACAGGGAGCAGTGGAACACAGTTTATTGGTCATTAATTGAGTGTGTAAGAGGAGACGCTACACGCCATATCACCCCTCGCTCCGTCGTCGTCGCCTTCGTCGTTGTCTTCGTCGTCGTCTTCGTCGTCGTCTTCGTTGTCGTCTTCGTCGTCGTCTTCGCCTTCTCCCCCCTTCAGCTCCGACCGGGAGGGAGGGGCGGCCCAGCTCCCTAGGGCATCCCGACGGGAGAGGGCGTCTGCATTACCATGAGCAGCCCCTGACCTATGGGTGACAGAAAAAGCAAAGGGCTGTAAAGACAGGAACCAGCGAGTGACCCGAGCGTTACTGTCCTTATTCTGTGACATCCAAACCAACGCGGCATGGTCTGTTACGAGGGTGAAGTGTCGTCCCAGCAGGTAATATTTCAGCTTCTCCAGGGCCCACTTGATTGCAAGACATTCCTTCTCAAAGGTGGGGTATTTTTGTTCTCGTGGCAAAAGCTTCCGGCTAATGTACAAGACTGGATGTTCCTCACCTTTTTGTAGCTGTGATTAGACCGCACCAACCCCAGTTTCGGATGCATCCGTCTGTACCACCAGTGGTTTGGAGAAGTCCGGGGTCACCAGTACGGGCCAATCCCGGATTACTTCAACTTTCTTTACTTGGGGTTTGACACACCCCCTCCAAATTGTGTACCCAAGGTACTCAGCCTCTTGCAGCCCGAGCCGGTATTTTCTGGGGTTCTCTGTTAGTCCTGCTTCCCTTAACGCCTGTAATACCAAACTCACCTGGTGCACATGGGTTTCCCACTTACTTCCGTGGATGACGATATCGTCAATGTAGGCCGCCGCATACTCCCGATGGGGACGGAGAACCCGGTCCATCAATCTCTAGAAGGTTGCTGGGGCCCCGTGCAACCCAAAAGGCAGTTTCTTATATTGGAAAAGCCCATTTGGGGTGGCAAACGCGGTATTCTCCCGTGCCTCAAGAGCTAAAGGCACCTGCCAGTATCCTTTTGTGAGGTCCAGGGTGGTGATAAAGCGGGCTGTCCCTAGCCGTTCGACTAACTCGTCAATTCAAGGCATGGGATAGGCGTCAAATTTGGATATTTCATTCACCTTTCTAAAATCATTACAAAAGCGAATGGTGCCATCTGGTTTTGGTACCAACACTATGGGATTACACCACTCGCTGTTCGACTCTTCGATGATATCCCCGTCCAACATAGTTTTCACCTTGGTTCTGACCGCCTCTCTTCTTGCTTCTGGTATGTGGTATGGTCTCAGAATCACCCTTTTCCCGGGTTCAGTGATGATGTTGTGCTCCACCAGATCGGTGTACCCTGGCTCAATTGGTTTTCCATCCACTACCGTAACTTGCTGGAGAGCATGGGCCAGGTTGGGGTCTTCTAATTCGGCCGTGCCAAACGAACTGCTAGAGAGGCAGGCTCTACCTCATGGTTCATTGGAAACATGTCTTCCAGACTCGCCTCCACTTCCTCCTGCCTTGCTTCGGCTAAGTCCCCCTCCGAGGGGGGTTCGGTTGACTCTGGGTGGTCCACTTCCTGGAATCCACACATTTGGGCCTTGGACTTTCTGGGGTCGGTATCACCTCGCCGGCTTCCTCTGTTCGGATATCCTCGTTTTGCTGTTTCCCCGGACTTACTGGCCCACAGTTGACGGAACATCGGGCAATCCCTCCCAATGAGCACTGGGATTTGTCGAGATGGTTTGTCTCACCATGTATGCAGGTAATTGCCACGGTGGTTGTCAGGGGTGCGGACTGGGCAAAGTCAGGTCGGATCAGGGTTACCATGCTCCCTGAGTCCAAAAGTGCCGTGGTGTCCTTTCCATTGGCTCTCACCGGGGTGACGGGAGAAGGCTCTCCTCAGCCCAGCATGTCATCAATATGTTACAGGGGCGGTCCCCGGTTACCTCACTTGCTGAGGCCGTACGCATGGGGACATCGCGGTTTGGGCAGGACCAGGCGATGTGTCCCAGTTCACCACACTTGTAGCATATCCGGCTGTCCAGCATTACAAGAGGGCGTCGTCTCTGGAAGCCACCTGCGGGCATCCCCCCCTCATTAGCCCCAGCGGGCTCCTCCATCCTTTTTGTCTCCTTCCGGCGAAGGGGTGTTTCGGTCCTCCGGGGATGTCCGCTGCGCAGGACCTCTAAAGCGACCTGTTGACCCCCTACCAACTCCACCAGCTGATGCACTCTGAGGGTTGGCTTGGCACGCTAACTTTTTGGCTTTGAACGGCAGAGCCCGTAGAAAGTTATCTATGACCACTTTCTCCAGCGGCGAGAGTGTCTGGGGTTCCTCCATAAGCCAACTCTTCGCCAGCCTGATCAGATCATGCATTTGTGACCTCGGGGGGGCTGTGGCATCGTAGGTCCAATCGTGGAACCGTTGTGCCCTGCTAAGCAGGGTAAATCCATGGTGGCGTAGGATTTCCTTCTTCAGCACCTCAAAATTCTTCTGAGCCTGACAGAAATGGTGCTAGTAGGCTGGCCCATTGCTCTCGGGGCCACTTCCTCCTAGTTGCTGTCCTCTCAAAAGTTTGGAGGTACGCCTCAATGTTCCTCAATCAATTCTTGGTGCCTTACTTGCTGAGCTAGGTTCACCTCCACCAACTGTTTCACCAATGCTTCCATTCTGGTTTGTGTTTGGTCAGTTAGTACGCTTGGTCCAAAGTGCCCTCATTCTCCACCATATGGGGCAAGCCCATGGGTGGGGACTTCCACGTCACGGGTTCAAGGACTCAAGCCAGTAACAGGGAGCAGTGGAACACAGTTTATTGGTCATTAATTGAGTGTGTAAGAGGAGACGCTATACGCCATATCACCCCTCGCCCCGTCGCCTTCGTTGTCGTCTTTCCTTCTCCCAACGATGCCTCACTTCGTCCTCTCTCCCCGCTCTCTCCTTCTCTCCTGTTCAGTGGTTTGTTTCCGTTCTTATGCTCCCCTTCATTAGATAATTGCTTTCACCCTCTCGTTAGGCTCAGAAGTCTCTACACGGCTCGGGGGTGGAGCCATCTGGCCGCAATATACCTCCCTTCCAACACCAACCCCCTCACATCTGCCTGTAGTCTACCACAATGCCTATGCTCAACTAAGTATATTCAGAACGGAAGTATTCTTCAATAATCATTTTTAAAACTCTTTAAAACCATGTCTTTGTTGAAATTGGACTGAATGTTGACTTTAGTTGACAGTTTAGACTGTTTTTGATGGACAAACAATCTGTTATACTGGATTCAACACTATTGGAATGTGTTCCCTTAAATCTAAATGTCAGTGGACAATTCAGCAGAGACTCTGCAGAGAGGCGTGGTATGTAAAAAGCTAGTGCATGGACATTGAGTTTGGATTATTTTGTAAAAGTATTACTTTCATGGTCAACAATGAAATGGCATCCTTAAAGTCATGAAATAGATTTTGATAAATCTACAACCGCCCGCAGAACTTGCATGTGACGTCCATCTCCATGACAACGGAGCAAAGTGTGTGATACAGAGGGAAACAGAGTTCCACAGAGTAGAATGAATGTAGCCTGGTACACAGCTGCTTTTTTTCAGTGTGGTGCTACTGTGGGTGGGTGTAGGATGAAGGGTGTGACTCCCAGGCTTTGACTGAGTAACCACAGTGAACCTTTCCCATGGTTGGTCATGTGACTCATGGATGAGGAGAGACATAAAAAAAACCAAAAGCAATCTGTAGGGTGTGGACGGGTCACAAACAGATGCGATGATTCATTCTCTTTCGTGGCAGCTTTTTCTTCGTTTGAGGAAACTCACCGCGGCAGCAGACTACCCGGCCCAAAAGGCTCACTGCTTTGTGAAACATGATGTGCAGCATTTCACTTTAGTAAGTTTTGTTGTTAAAGCTTGAAAAAAAATATTGGATGTACGTTCAACAGTATCATTTAGAGAAAAGTTAAAATTATACACAGGCTTCACACATAGTAAGTGGAATTGTGAGTTGATGTTGATAAACCATTTATAATCACATACAGCACCCAAAGTGAACTCTCCTGTGAAAATACATCTCTCTCTTGCTGTGGAGAACTCTGACCCTTTGAAAACAGTTCTACAAAAGATATGCAACATACAAATACCATGTTTACTACTGCATGCTACTTGCCATCACAAACTCAGTCAGTGATTGCAGGTACTGAAAACTCCTGACTCACAAATGCACACCCAGACTCAGGGGGAGGTGGTCTCAGGTAGAAGCTCACAATAGAGTGTTTGTTCCGTACTGCTGTTTGATGGAGAAGAGCGCTGCGTTAGGAAAAAGAGATCCGCAAAGAGAGAAGAAAACTGTTTGGAAAACAAGGCGGGGGGGGGCAGCTCCAGTGACGTTGAAGTCAATCAATCACAAGGAACAAATGCCATAATTATTATGCTGATTGGATGCTTGAAGGGGTAACCTGAGGTGGGGGGCAGGTACAGAGAGAGAGGAGGAGCTTAGAAACAGTGTAGGTGGTTCTGTACGACACTTGTTCCTGGTCATTCTTGAGTTGTTCACGGGTGATTTAATGTCTAAAGAAGTAAATGAAAAATGTCTCCTCACCAACTAATGTGAGAGGTGTCCTTGAAAATTGTGCTGCAGCTCTAAACATGTTAAAGGGACTTTGATGTTTGATAGGCCTCATTTTTTAATCAAAGCATTTATTTTTCTCTCAGCTGTTACTGAAGCGGACTAAAGTCTTTATGAATGCAAATCGAATTACATATACTTCTCACATTTTACAACCGTCAGGGTCTGAAACACACAGATGTACTTGTTCACTCATGTCTGCATTAGGTTTGCAAGAACTAAAGCCGCTGCGCAAGTGTGCATGTTCAATGCCACCGCTTAAATCTAGTTATTAATCAAATCATTACTCTTATTAACACCAGTGTGTTGGCAGCTATGACTCGTCTACCACTGATACTGGGAAATATTTCTCCATTGGGGGACTTGGAACGCAAGCGAGCCTTTGACAAAGTCATTTGTCACACCTGTGCTTTTCCTTACGTGACAAGTCAAAATGTCTGCCGGGAAAAAGGCCCATTCTCCTGGAAATGTAATTACACCTGTAGTTACGGTGAAACATTCATTAATCTGAGCAGTTTGGTTTGGCTGTTAATGATTCTGTGTCAAGAGGTGCAGCCTGCTATGTTCTGCACTGTTGCTCTAACCTTGATGATGATGATGATGATGATGGTCTTGTGTTAATGGTCGTCACTGGGATGGTGAGCTGAGGTGTGTTACGATGATACGTTCTCCAGCTGACAGCACTCATAAAGAGATGATTATTCAGCACTATTTCCTCTTCTGTTTTTTTAAGACATTACGACACATCTGACATTTCTTATGGCTCAGCACCATCGTGTCCGAGTGATGCCGGTTAGCCCGCATGCTGACCCTTGAACTGACACACCAGAATGCATTTAATAATTGTTTGTGTCAAACGTATGTTGCCCAATCTACAATAAAAAAATCAGTGTCAACTTGACAAATTTGAGGCGAGGATCAGAGGGGCAGAACGTTGTCGAAAAGAGCGCTCACATTCTGCACACGGGACAAACATGGCACTATATACCCCAGTTTAAAAGTTTGTTCTTGCTTTGTGGAGAAATGCTAGACTTTAGACTATTGATCTCATCGGGTGCTGTTTGTACTTTTCATTCTTTGCCAGGAAATGTGCAGCTTGCCCCTTCACATTAGGACAGCGAGCTGCAACCGGTCATCTTGCTGGTGTTTGTTGTAGGGCAGCTTAAGCATAAAACAGAGACCGAGTGAAATATAATCGACCGGCCTCAACCTTCGACGTGTGTTACTTTGTCATGCATGTATTCATCAGCAAGAACAACACAGATACCGTTAGTTCACTGTTATATTAGTTATTATTTGGGTTTCATCAACAAGTCTTTTTCTCCTTTCCACCATTTATGTTTAATCTCATTGTAAAAAACACAGTTACTTGCATCTCTAAATAATTTATATCTACACTCGTATCTTTGTGCGTGTGGCTGTGTGTGTCTGCAGGGCACAGGGGAATCTCTCTGACCTGTGTGTTGACCCCCTGTCGCGTGATTGGGGTGTGTGTGACACTGATGACCTTGGGAGCCATTGGAGCAGCCGTCTGGGCCGCAGGGCGTACCGCATGCTGTCACACACACACACACACACACACACACACACACACACACACACACACACACACACACACACACACACACACACACACACACATTTTTACACAAACACGCCACAACAATCCTACTGTTCTGTATCTGCCATCATGTATTGTATTGACGGCCATTATTCTTTTATCCTTTCTGTAGTCACGTATTGGTCAATGGATGAAGACACAGGATTGTATGATGGTGAGTACGAGAGGACAAGATCTCTGATGAGAAGTGGTCCGTCTGTCCGTCTGTCCGTCTGTCCGTAGCAGAAAGCAAACACAAACTTAACTGCCGTTAAAACACAGTTTATGCATTTTTATATACGTTCAGTATCAGATTTATTTTGTTCACAAATGAACCCCGTGTCATTTCCTGCAGTCCAGATAAATTCTGCTGACCAACGTCTCAGAGTCTTTGACCCGGCCGAGAAGAGGTGGCGCCAGGTGTGTTCTTCCTCAGCCAATGAGCTGCTAGCTAGCATCAGCTGTGAAGAAGTGGGCTTCGTCAGGTGAGATATTATCAACCAGGACATCTCCACGTTTTCAGCGTAGCGTGACGCAGGTGTGCGCGTCTGTTTCCAGTGTGGTGAATTACTCCGTCTCGTCGGTGCCAGAGGCCAGCGGAGACGGCGGGGAGTTCTTCTGTGTCAGACAGCAGGAGCTCAGCTATGGCAAAAAAATCAAAGACGCATTGTTCCCATGGTAACAAACACCTGTCTGTTTGCGCCGCCACCTGTCTCACGGCATGCTAACCTTCTACCACACTGAACTCTCTGTTGCTCCTGCTGCCTTTTCCTCCACTTGTCCACTCGGTTGACAAAGAGAAAGCGGGAGGCTCATTTGCATAGTTTGGATGTTTCCTTGTTCTCTGTCAGGTTGTTGCTAACTCTTTCCTTCTCTCTTTGGTCCAGTGACTGTGAGAGCAGGGAGGTTCTCACACTGTTGTGTCAAGGTAAGACGTGACCTCAGATCTCATCTTTCACAGATTGTGTTGGGAATATTTATTGTTCCCTACTTCTCTCCTGCTTAGTTATCTAACTTCAATTATTTTGTCCTGTATGATATTAAATGTATTCGCTTCCAGTTCACGCAGAGGGTAAACTCTTCCCTCTCCTCGGCAGACTGTGGCAGGCGCAGCTTCGCGGCGGACCGCATCGTTGGCGGTGTGAACGCCAGGCGGGGCAGTTGGCCCTGGCAGGTCAGACTGGAGTACGACGGCGTTCATCAGTGCGGAGGAACCATCATCTCAAACCGCTGGATTGTGACAGCAGCTCACTGCTTCAGAGCGTCAGTAGTAATCCAGCCTCATTTTTATACGGGAATCCTAATTGACTTTGAAGCACATTGCGGACAAATTCCACATGTACACACTTTTTCATTTCATGCCAGGCAATATCGCACCGTCAATAACTGGCGCGTGAAGCTGGGCTCCATCTACAGTAAACCAGTCAACGCCAACGTGGTGGAGGTGAACACCATCGTTTACCACAGCAGCTACCTGCCCTTTGTAGATGCCAACATTGATGACAACAGCAGGGACATCGCGGTCCTGGCGCTCACCCAGCCCCTCACCTTCAACGGTGGGCCTCTGTGCGGCCTACGCACCACCAGACACACACACACACACACACACACACACCTGTGTGACTATTTGATTGACAGTGTTTACAGATATGGCCGAATGACAAAGACATGGAGATAACCAGATGGATCAATTATAGTTATTTGCCTGCGTTACGTAAACGGGGTCTAGAAGGAAGGACGTTTTGAAAGCAGGTCACTTCTGACATCTAGTGTTAGACTTTTACAATTACAGCCACAATATGTCAGCTCTACTCTGTACAGTGAACGGTTTCTGTGCTGTTGATATGTTAATAGAATAACCTGTGGTTTGTAGCTTTACAAGGCAAATGTGTCACATAGTATAGTTTGGAAGAACAAGACAGAAGCTGACAAAAAAAACTGATCTACACTTCAGTGTTTCTATGTATTCACTTACATCTCAATACATGTGTGTGTGTGTGTGTGTGTGTGTAGAATGCATCCAGCCTATTTGCCTGCCAGCACACGGTCAGAGACTGACAGATGGGCAGATGGGAACAGTAACCGGCTGGGGAAATGTACAATACCATGGTGAGTCGTCTGCATTTCACTACAGCTGTTCTGTAACATTTCATGTTTTATGACATTATTTTCTATCTTTGTATCAACATGTGCTATCATGACAAACAGCAGCGGTTAGAGGAATTTTTCAATGGTTCCATAAAAACCAATACCTCTTGAGATAACCCCCCCCCCCCCCTCCAAAGTATTGTTGTTTTTAAACGTTTTTGATTTCTCACTTTCAGGAGTTCAAGCAGATATTCTCCAGGAAGCGAACGTCCCCATCATCAGTGACGCTGTCTGCAACGCTCCGGACTACTATGACAATCAGATCACCAGCAGTATGTTCTGTGCAGGTTATGAGAAAGGAGGCATGGATGCCTGTCAGGTCAGTGTGTGACTTTGTTTCTGCATGCCGGTGCATTCGGGCTTTGGGGTTTCTAAGAGAGCTGCATGCTTCGATCTGCCCTCATCGGGGTGCGCTTTTGTTTAATCGGATGCTTGTTTTTAACCATAATCTAAAGGTTTATGTTTTTCTGATGCGTATACACCTGGTTGTCTGATTAACCTCTGTCAATGATCTGTTGTAATGTGTGTGAAGCGCTTTAACCCCCGGTGGTTTCAGGGAGACAGCGGCGGCGCCTTTGTGGCAGAGGACTGTCTGTCCAAGACCAAGCGGTATCGTCTGCTGGGGGTGGTGAGCTGGGGAATAGGCTGCGCCATGGCCAAGAAACCCGGCGTCTACACCAGGATTTCCAGGTTTCTGCCCTGGATATCCACGGCCATGAGGGTGAGAACCTGGACTTTGTTTTGTTTGTCTAAATTCTTAACGCACACCCGAGGAAGTACGTACAGTCAATCGACCGCAACCAACTGTAGAAACAGTACTTGCATTCAGGTTATGTGTAGATCCATTACCACACACACAAAGCATTCCTTAATCTAAATCAAGGAAACAAAATGCACGCTTCAAGACTGGTCTTTAAATGTTTCTGCTTTAAATCCCTCCCCTCCAGAACTATCACAACTCACCGGGGCTTCACAAAATGGCTCGGACATGAGATTCCTGCTCCCATGTTTCCACTTTTTCAACTCTTGGATGACAATATCTAAAGACCTGGAGGTTTGTCAACGGGGGCAGTTGGAAGGAGGGATGAAATGCTGTCACTGTTCCAGTGGTGTCCTTCTTACTTAAAACATTTATTTAGGATTAACTTCTTCCTGAACCTTCGAACGCCCACCAGGACCAAACTACTTAAACGATACCCGACAGAGCTCTTAAAGAAACATGAAGTTTTATTTAAGCTGACTTGCAGTGTCCTCATGAAGTAAAGTATTGATTTATATTAAAATCCGTATACTGGATTTAGGATACAAATAAATAAATAAGATATAAGGAGATTAAGTTAAGTTATAAATAACCACTAACTGGTGAGCTATACAGCAGCATGTTGAATTGAGACCTGCAGAGGCTCAGGTTGCTCAGGTTCGACTCGAGAACGTTTGATGAAAACACAGGGATTTATTCCATAAGAGACTTTATTCTATTTCTCGAGGTTTTCATCTTGTTACACATGCCACTTTCTTCGGTACCAGACTTCCGGCTGCCAGTGTGCATAGCAAGCAGTGCATAGCAGACGCCAACGCTTTTAGTACTTTTACATTGCGCAACACTAAGACGCACAGTAGATCTAAGGTGTCAATAATTTATGAGTATTGCTAATGAGTAGCTAAAATATTCCTGGTGACTTTAGCACATCAATATTTTCACAGTGTAAGAATCTCATTTTATTTGTAACTCGTGTGATATTTTTATAGCCTGACATATCATTAATAATAATAATTCCCACATGCAGTGGTAATGATGATTCTTGTACTGAAATCAGTATTTCGCTATCGCCTTGTAAATATTAGTGAATGTCTTGTTTGTGTAGTTTATTTGAGGAATGTTACAGATGTCTTCATGATCTACAGATCTTAATACTATAAGTGCATTAACGATAACAACCTAAATCATGTCTTTAGAAAGTATTTCTTTCAACACTGCACATATTGATTAGCAGATTGTAAATTCTGATGTCACAACAAATAAACTGTGTATACTCATGATTTTCCATGACCAATGTATAGTATTATATACTAAAACCTCTCTGCTCCTACAGTTATATTCAGCATAAACAACAACATATTACAGCAATGCATTATGTTTTCGATTAGATAGATTTGATTACTTTTATTGTTCATTTTCTAGTGGCATCTACTTGCTATATTTGATTCTTTATTTTACTAGACATTCACCTGACACATTATTAGAACACCAAGAAAAAGGATTTTAGGTCAAATGTGTGTTTCAACCTAATCTGTGATCAACATAACACAGAAAAACCAAGATAACAGCACAACCACAAATATACAACAAGATACGTTATCAAAAAATATGACGTACCGCTTTTATAGTGTCGTCACTGAATCGGTATTTTGCACATGGCCATAAGAATTTAATTTGAATTTGAATTTATGAATTTATTTTTTTGAACTTGTATAAAAGGGAAAAAAAATGTTACTACTTGTACACACAAAGAAAATACAAATTATTAAAAAAAAAATAGAACAACAAAGAGCTAAGACACAACAGAAAAAAAAACAGTTCGAAAAAAAGGAGTGGGAAGAAGCATGACACTTATTTGATGTCCCACCCCTTTTCAACTGCTCTTCAGCCCGTACCCACACAGAATACTACATAATACACCTACATACCACGCATACACTTCACAAATATCCAATCACAAAAACAAACATACACCACATGCATATCCCTGCAAACATACCTATAACATGTATATATATACATACTTACACTAATAATAATAATAATTATTTATTTAATAATGATATACCAAGAAAGAATTGGATCTGAAATCTGAACACAAATGTAAAATCCTTCTGTCACTGATTTTTATCTCATGACTCAAAATAATGTGATTGGTTTTGCATCCATAGAATTGCAAACTATTCACCACCAGTTCCTCCTCTGAAATAAAGTTTATGCATGTAGCAAATTATATTATGACGTGTGCAAGATGAATAAATGTTGTAGATGTACATTTTTTCATTGGTTATTGTATTGAAATGATAACAACTTGCCCACAGTGATTGTCTAATAATATCACAATTAATTTATATCCCTATAATACTAACTGTATGAACTGCTGTGAAAAAATAGACTGAAAAACACAGCACGGGTGATAAAAAGACTGTGACACTAGATCTGGTTACACGCTGGCAAGTGGGAGATGACAGGTGACCCATTTTGAATCTGGCAAACAGGAAGCAGAGGTCGTCGCAGTACAACAGAGCTTTCTCTGTGCGGCTGAATATGTCAAAAACAGCTGGTCTCACATCGCCATCCGGATCTATTGTGCTCGTCCACATGGTGGTGTTACTGCACCGCGCTGCCACGCCGGTGATGCAAATCACCGGTGGTTGACAATAACATACTGAAGAGTAAACTGTGCCCGATTTGCAAATACCTCCATGGATGTAGTCTTCTTCGTTGCATGTCTTTCTACCTGGAATGCTCTGATGATGATCTATGAGGACCTCCGGGTTATTATTTATTATTAATAGTATTTTAACATGTCCTATTAAGATGTCTGTTTGATCCAAACATTCAATCAAAATATTTGCAGCTGTCAGTAAAATGTGCCGGTATTTTACAGCAACAGGCAAACACATTTCTATTTTGTTTTAATAACTTTTTGCACATTATCCCCCCCAAACACAAAGAGAGAAAATTGTACAAGAAGAATATGAATAATGAATAATTAGACTCAATCTTCTTGACATCATTATCCTCCTAAGTGTCACACTCTGTTTCCCGTCCCTCCCTCCCAGACACTCTTCTGGTTCCACATATCTCACCATTATCATTTTCTATCCGTCCACTAAAGGTACTTTCTGTTCCCTGTTTCCACGTCTCTAATGAGCAAAGCCCGGCTCGCTCACCTGTGCCTCATTCCACCATAACCACACTCCACAAACACATATAACTATCGCAGGTAAAACAAGCAGCAGAGGAAAGATCACACATAGAGATTATTTATTGATTTATTTTGATAGACAAGTTAGTAACGTGCTGTGGATTGACCACAGAATAAAACGAGTGTGCATGCTGATCTTCTTGATAAAATATCTTTATTGCCACAATATTATTTGTTGTTGGCGATGCCTTTTAAACAACCAAACCTGACTCGTTGTCAGAACGCCATGTTTCATTGCATAGTACGTATAACATTTAGTGCAAATCCTTTTACTGAAATTAAACAATCTATGATTTGATCAGTGATAGTGATTAGCTAAAGATTTGTTAGTTGTCTCCTTTTAAAAATTAGCTGACCAGCACATTGTCCTGTGTCAAATCTTGCATATCCTTTATAGATAGCTTCATTTGATTTGGTGACAATCTTGTTTTATTACTGATAGTCATCTTCTTTCAAGACAGCTCAAAATTATGCAAATGATGTTGTGACGAGCACTCAAACTGTAATCTACATTTACTTGTATTTCTGTGTCACATTAAAGATGTTGCCTGTACTATGGAAATGGATGTAAGAAAATTGGCCGTTCTCAGGTAACACAGTCGAAAGATGCATAGAATAAAAAAAGGAAAGACATGCGACACTGGACGTCTACTCAGCACCACATGTTGTCCCTGTGGTTTGGTGGAGAATCCATGACGACGTGTCCGACTCAGGACAGCAGAAGGCATCGTCAGTCTTTTCCTGTCCTACAATCTGAATGGAAGTAAAGCGATAGGTTCACATGAAGAAGATTTATTTGTTGTTCAGCTGAGGAAGAAATTGGGATTTATTCATGGTTAAGTGGTACTGAGTCTCTATTTTCAAGGTTATTTGTTTCATTTTAGGGGCACGACTTTGCTTTTCTAATCAAAAATCTTCTGTGTCCCACTGTATGTGAGTTTCTCATGGTACCTTCATAGGTGTTGTGCATAAAGGGATGTAAAGACCATTTCATGGAAAAAACAGACATAACAGCAAATAACGCAACTTGAAATATGTGTAACTGTAAGGTTTGTAAAGTGTACTACCTGGTTTGCCGTCTCCCATCAGCGGCGAGGCTGCTGAAGTAAAGTGTAAACAACTTTGGAGGAATCCTTCTGCTTCTTATCAGCACCCAGTGGTAGGTTGTGGACCTGCACCTGGTCCACACTAAAGCAACAAACACACAGCAACCATGTGCGTCCATCGGAACACCCGACTCCGATCATGAGAGCAGGTCTTCATCTTACTTAGAACCATTAAAACGTTTTTAATGTCCAAAACTGGGATGAGAAATTTATTGCACTCTCATAAACGAGAGCAAGGTGTTGGATAGCACAGAGGAAAGAGAGGAGAGACGGAGGGAAGTGTGAGCAGACTAGAGAGAGGGCGATGACAGGAGATGAAGAAGGAAGCAAGAGGGCCAATGTGCTTGTAAAATATAATGCGCGACAGAATGAAACAGTAGGTTGTTGCCATAGTCAACAGCTGACACATGGTGTTAATGAAAGAGAGAGAGAGACAGAGATGTAGTCCAGAGGACAGGAATGGAGGAGGACGGCGTGTACCTGGACAACTTGGAGTAGTGGACAGTGATGTAGTTGAGGGCGGGGCTGTGAGATTCCACTTCTGTGATTGGTGGAGCATCCTTCAGAGGAACAATGGCAGGGTGGCCGCTGTCACTCAGGTCCTCTGGCTCTTCCTGCGTGCAGAAACACACACAAACACACACACACACACACATGCAGATGAAAAAGTGATGCAATGTGTTCGTTTCTTACTATATCGTTCATTGCCTTAAGGCAGTAATTGAGTTGTGCACCGGTATGTCGGACATCTTGCCCCTCTTCACTGGAAAGGTCTGTTGGGTTGACTCATAGAACCTGGTGTCAGCTGTCACTGGCGGATGCTGGGGTCACATACAACACACACACGTGCACACGGCAACATACACACACACACACACACACACACACACACACACACACACACACACACATTCAAAAAGAGAGAGCAAGTCAGAGCATTGCTTTGAGTCTTCAAGAGAGAAAAATGACATTGAAACCATCCCAACGGAGGCTTTAATTTGTTCAAGCACTAAACATTTTGGGGCTACAAGTTCAAATAATACGAAGATGCCGAGTTATGAAGCCAAGTTGAAAAGTACTACACCTTGTTTGCTACTTCTCCTGACTCCATGTCTACTCTGTGCATGTTCTTACTGCGAAGACACAGGGGAAATAAGTAAGTAAGTACACTTACTCACGAGAGTGACAGTGAGTAAATATCAGTGTACTTCCTGTCACCTGATCATAATGGCCACTGTGAGAGTGATGAGTCCAGCAGACACCCCTACTGCTGAGGCCAAGGCAATGACCTTTAGACGACCTGCCAGTGGAAGGATAACAGAGGTTATCAACATGACCACAAAAGAGAAGTAATGAAAATAGTAGTGAAATAGATACAAAAATATAGGCAGAGAAAGTGCGTAACAGAGAAAGAGCTGTGCACCATCATCTTGCAGGCGTCTAGACTTGAGACGTGTGTTTCCAGCTCCGATTTCCAAACCTAACTCCACTTTGAGCTGTCTAGACTCAAATAGTAGTTTTCCTCAACACCTCATCACCCCTCCTCTCCATTCATAGCGAGAGCGCTATATATGACTCACCATGACTCATATAGACAAACAGTCAGAATGAGACCATACACAATGGAGACGGGAACCCGGTCCTCATGCTGCGATAGTGACAGCGAGGTTTCATCACTTGTCTTTTTGAGCATCGAAATCTTTCCAAACAATCATAAATAAATAGATGCACTGAAATGGGTCGGGGTTTGTTTTGCTAAGCTTATCAGTGAAATCGTAACGCTTCTATTTCCCTTACTAAAGTTACTAACACTCTCACTCTGAACATATTTGACCAGGATGAGCCCCTAAAGGCCCTCGTAGTGTGAATGTACCTCTGTAACCACACTACTTCTCATTGAAATATATCCATTGGAACATTTCTTTACCAAAGGTTGACTTGAAATGAAAGAACTTACTCTTAAAACTAATAACAAACACCTTTCCTTTTGTTTTGCTGAAACACAGAGCGAGAAGCTAAAGGTTGCTAAATGAATCATTATCCACCTCTGACTCGTACAGTGAGGACCGGAGAGCTGTGGGCTCCGATCCGATTCCTGGCCTCGCAGTAGTACTGTCCGCTCTCTCTAGGGCCGACCTCGGAGAAGGTGAAGACAGGACCGGACCTGCTGCCCCACGCTGCACGGAGCACAGACAGGGAGAAGATCCGCTCAGTGTTTCGGGCGTTGTTGGCGGATCAAAACCAATGGAGGCAAACCTCACTGACCACCACCGTTTGCAGTGAGCTATTGATGATTCTGTGTTAACCTTGAGTGGAACCACATTTTTACGATGCTAACATTGTACAGAGCCCCCGTCCAGAGCTAAGCGGTGCCATGTGAAGTTGTCCACTGCCGGGTTGGCCTGACTGCTGCAGGTCAAGGTCAAAGGTCGGCCAGCATCAACCACACCGGAGGGACGAGCAAGAACTGAGGTGTTCTTAGGAGGGTCTGGAGAGAGGAACAGAAACATAGACGCACAAGGTCAGGGGAGGTTTTTTTCTTGTTCATTTTGAGAGAAGAGGTTGAGAGTTTTCAATGCATCTGACAAAATGTTTCCCTCACTGTCACTCAGCGGCTTCAGGTGAATGTTTGCAACAAACAGATAAAGTAGCCACTTTAAAAGGATTATCTAAATCCAGAAACCCCCCCACATATGTCACACACACACACGCACACACACCAACCTCTACTTACAGAGTATAGTGAGTGTAGCAACTGGGGAGGTTTGGTATCCCAACCGGTTCCATGCTTTGCAGTAGTACTGACCAGCGTGGTGAGCACGCACTGAGGGGAACGTCAGGTTCTGGAAGGTTCCTGTAGCCAGCACCTGGTCACCTAGGATACGATACCAAGCATACCTACAGGAGGGAGCATGGTG